ACCGGCATTTTTCACTCTCAAACGTGGTGATAATCCAGCGTTATTTTGAAACCGTATACCAGGGTTTGGGGCATTGAGAGCAAGCGGATTACCACCGGGGACAAAAGCGCTCCACCACCGCAGCGATGAGCCACACAGCACCGCTGCACGCTAATCTGGCCCCTATTGAAAAGCGGTCAGCAGTGCACAAAAACAAAAGAAAGTTAGATAGCACCGCACAATCTGGGCTCTGGGCTCAAGGCTGCAGGCCTGGCTGAAATACTCGGGCGTCAATGAAGGCCACCTGTCAACTTAGAGTAGGGCCTAGAGATTATTTGGTACAGCTATAAACAACCGTTAAATGAAATGATGAATTGTTGAGGGATTTTGAAAACGGAAAAAATGACAGTCATGCCGGCCCAGCATCATCAACATTGAAAAATGCCCCGGCATGAAGTGGTTAACATGCAGAATGTGTAATACAGACAAGTTGTTTGTGTCAACACTCAAGGAATATAAAATCCTTTAAACATTATCTGAACTTGGATGCCCAACAACTTGACATCTCCCTTGTCATATCCACAGAATTCAAAAAGCTCTTGAAATGTTGTCAAACTTTCTAGCACTTTTCTGGGATCACATGCAGAATCGGCATGAAATTTTCTCTGGTATGTCTTTCCATTTCCCGTGGATTATGCAACAAAAAACGACCCTGAAGTTGGGGAGCTTGGCTGCATAGATGAACGGATTCACACAACTGTTAGCCAATAGGAATGCAGAAGATAAGTGCCAAAACCACACATGGTTAGGAATGGAAAACAACAGATGTACACTTGAAGGTACGTAACACAGCATGAAGACAAACACAACAAGAGCAAGATTCTTGGTCACTTGTATCTGATGATTGCTGTTGCGTCGGACTCGCTTGGTGTGGGAATGGACATGACAAAAGATGCTGATGTAACTCAAGAATATGAGGAAGACCTGAATTGGCACTGATAAAGCAAAGAGAATAAATGGATATGCATGAACGTGCTTGGGACCAGCTGGGGCCCATGTGCACAGGGACGAGTCAGGATTAAAGCCTGTTTCCATGATGCCACTCCAAGCTGGGAAGAGTGTGCCAGCCAAGGGTACCAGCCATGTCAGGATAATCCCTGCCAGGGTTTGTCGCCCACGGAACATCTTCTTATAGGTTGACTTGCTTTTGGTGATCATGACGTACCTGTTGATGGCAATACAGACCAGGTTGTTCAGGCTGCAACTGGAACAGAGTACCAGCAAGAAGCCTGCGAGTTTGCAGGGGGCGTTAGGCAGGGGCCAGTCATCCTCATTTAGTACAGCGAAGACGTTGATGGGGATGGTATAGATGCATGTCAAAAAGTCAGCTATGCTCAGGTTTAGCACAAACATGTTTGTAGCATTGCGGAGTTTCCTGGACAGGATCACAGCGGCTATGACCAAGGCATTGTCAACAGTTCCCACCACAGAGATGATGCCAAAGATAGCAGCAAAAACCTGCCGCTCACTGTAGGATGTGCACACCTCCCCATGGCAAACAGACGAGTTGTCTAGGCTGTCCATCTTTTTACAATGTTCACATAGACAGGAAGATCTGTCCCCACCCAAAAAAATTGGCTAAAGAAAAAACCTGCAATGGACAGTTTTCAATAAGTTGATCAAAACAGGAGTACTTTGTTCCTGCAGAAAAAAAAGTCCCTTCTGTAGGTCTCGAACAGAATCCAATAAGCTTTCAATCTGCCCAATAAAGAGGTTTTGGACCTCGAAGCAAAATGAGCGCTGCACGCCCACCAGGTTGTCACAAGGCAACAATATACAAGCGAGTGAGCATGTCACACTTCAACTTGCATCATTTTTCAATATTCCTTGACTAGACAAAGACCTGTTGCTGGTATCCAACCATAAAACGGCAAGTTGCTGACAGTCATCCCAGCTATAACTGCGATGATGTCATCATTGGTTAAAAAATCCCAGCTGCGATTGGTCCATTCATCAGGAAGGAGGAAGGTTGTGCTACGTGATATCTCTGTATTTTTGTCTGTAAATTAGACCTGGGACTTTTGTTTAATCTACGCACTGACACCGGATTTATATTGCCAGTGGCACTGACTGCTTTTCTATTCTAATATGGTTGACTTACTGCCTTTCTGAGAAGAAGCTATCTGTAATTTATGATATTCTGACAAATAATGAATAATGCTTTTATCAGCGGATGATACTAGTATACGTACAATCAACATGAAAGGTTTGACAGGCTGCCACAGCACATACTGTTATTTTATTGTATTTTCAGTTTTTTTTTCTCTTTTTCACGCACCGACAGTGTGACTGCTAGTGTGTTTATCAACACAGTGCAGGTGACAATTGCTTGGCTATCAAATGACAATGAAATATGGCACAAATCAATCTGTGAAGATGTGTTAAAAGCCAAGTTGAGGACTTTTTTTCTATCCTCATGTTTATGCCTTCTGTGATGTTTAGGCCTTCTGCAACACAGAGTTATCTATTGCTCTTCTGGGATGATGGAATTCTCGTTTTTGGGTGAAATACTCAAAATAAAATAATATATGAACTTTTCAGGTGTTAGCAGTAATGCATGTAAATGCTTTTGTATATGTGTCATCACACCAGGTTTTCCCATGTGCCATAAGCCATATTCATCTGGTGTCGTTTGGAGATTGCAATATTTTTCAGGACGTCAGAGCTGAGATGCATTGCTGAAACAACGCAAATCCAAAATCAAATGTGTTTTAATTCTGCGCAACTCTTATGCTCAATGTGAACCAGAAATGTACTAAACTGCCCTCTTACAGTTTTTCATTAGGACCTCTTTTTCCATTTTTTTTATTTTTAGAATTCTTTAATTGTACCTTTCGGCATTTCCACACTACAGTGGAAATTGGTCTTGCTGCTACTGACCACTTTACTTATTATAATTCCTACACAAAAATGACTCTCTTAAAAGTGGAATTGGTACATAAGGATATGGCACTACATGTACTTTTATTTCTTCTTTCTTTTTTAAAGTCTCTTAAAGTTTCCTTTTTTTCAATAAATCGCAAATAACAAGAGACGGGAAAGAGTGTGACCAATTTCCACTGGTGTGGAGCCATCTGTTTCTGTTCTTTCAAATCTACTCATAGTGTTAGTGTGAAAGCCAGATCAAACCTGGCCAAAAACAAACAAGCACAAAACCATGACGTCAAATTGGATATTTGATCATGCTGCCAACTCGCAAAAGTTGAAAGTCAGGCTTCACTGCAGATGTTTTGTGAGGCCGAATTTACTTCATGTTCAGATTTGAACCAGCCTGTAGGGTGTTTTGGGCCGATTTCAATTTTATACAAGGAAGAATTCGTCCAATTCACATCTTATGCAGTGGACACCTAACACAAAGGGTGTTAGCTCAAGCAAAGAATTTTGTGGGTTTTTGACATCAGTTCCGCTTGTACATATGTGAATGTAGTCTTAGTTTTCTTCCATAAAAAACAGTTGAACTACTTGAAAGAGGTAAAAGGAAAAATTGTCAAAATTGAACCCCAATTTATAGAAAGAATAAAATGCTTAAAATAGGAAATAGGAAACAGCAGAGAATATGGTACAAAATGCAGCAAAGGGGGCCAGTAAGTCACTGTCACCTTCACCAAGTTTTCCTGATAGTTCTGCATTTTTGCCATACCTTGAGTACACAACAATCTGATCTTCATGGGCATCTGCACGGGGGTCTCTGCAAGAACTTGATTGACACCATAGAGTGATTTGGGAGGGGGGGGTCAAATTAAACCTCTGTTCATTTAAAGGTGTAAAACTGGTATATTTTGTTCCATTTTTGACTAAAAAAGGAGACAACTTTTGTTACCACTCAAACTACAGCCTGCATGCTGATTCACATGTGTGAAATGTTCTTGAACGTTGAAAGGACTACAGAAATGTGTAACCTTGGGGGGGGGGACACTGCTAACGTGACTGGCCCCCTTTACCGCGTCTTGCATCATCCACTGTATTGTGAATTTTACTCTTAGGCCCTAATAGCTGAGGGAGGGGCAGACTCCATCCCATGTAAACTTTCTCTGATACAGTCACAGTACACTTTTTCTATTGTACCAAGCCTTCAGACGTTGTTAGACCGATGTTTCATGGTCATTTTGACATCAAGTGTATGCCAATTGGACATAAATTGCTCTCTCAAAATGTGTATTTCTGCAAAGGCAGGTCAGTCAAAAAACCTCCACTTTTCCTACAGGACATGCACTCAAAAGCACATGGGCTGAAATGCACGACAGCTGACACGGTAATACTATCAACACAACTGCCACATCCAACTGACATTATCACCTTGGACAAGGGATGTACAGCCTTGTCTCCCCCAATACCATAGGCCTCCCACATGATTAGTTCTTTCAGGGTTAATTTGTCTTGAAGGCCACTTAGTGGAACACACAGCCTAACTGAAAAGAGCTGCTTTGCTTTTTTTCAAAGCAGAGAACTTGTTTAAAAATTATTAGGCAGAAGTGATCAAGTTGCAAGTACCAGAAACTAAGAAACTGTTGACTGAAAGTTTTTGGAAAAAAAAGGAAAGATAAAAAACTGAACTAGAATTGGAACCCTGAAATATTCCTTCCCTGAACAGCAAGGCTTTGTGTACACTTCATAAAGTAAAGGGGGATGAAGAACTTAAAATAAAACCGGCCGGACCATCTCTGCGGTTTCATACCATGACAGTGAATGTACTGCCTGCCTCTGAAACAGCCAACTAGCGGCTTACACTTCATGGCTCATGACCCTGACATACACGTCCTACATTGAGTATCCATAGCCATATCCACATTGAACATCTCAGCATGCTGTCCTAGCAATTTTCTGCCTCTGCTAGAATTTGGTTTCATTCATGGTTCTTTGCTTTCAGTTTGTGGTTGAAGTGCAGGGATTTTCCCAGTTTGGTCCCAATCAGTGATTGGTGGTCTGTCCCCCCCTCCCTTTTTGTTTCTTATTGAGGGAGAGAGAAGGGTGAAAATATGTTCTGGTCTGCTTTCTGCATCTCAGCTCAACCATGTCAACATAACCACAACTGAACAGCGTCCTTTGTAAAACAGTGAGTGACAGTGGCTTGCTCTCACTGCTTGATGAATAGTTGCCAGGCAACATGTCAACAGAATCCCAGTAAAAGCATCCTCTGGTACATTTTTAGGACCCTGGAAATGGGTTGGAGGGTTTGGCCATTTGGTTTTCAAGAATTTGAGGGATTTTGCAAGTTTACCTGATTGCCATATGAAGTTCTGAGGAAATTACACACTACAAAGAATGCATGAAGAGGTGTTATCCAAGAACATACGTATGAATCTTGAATATAACATGTTCCAGCTTGATAACATGGCAACATTCTATTACCTGGGATATGTAATTCCTAAGATATTGGCCTGTAAAGACGGCACCTTTAAGATGGTGTCACATGACAATGGCTTTAGGACGGCATCAAAACAACAGTTTCTTATGTCAGCTTGTCCACTGAAACACGTAATAAGTATCAGTAGCGGAGTCCTCGAGAACCTAGGAACTTAACACCCGGCCAATGGGTCTGTTTGTTCCAGGAGGATCCCGATCGCAAGTTGGTGATCCAACATTGGTTGGTTGGTTGGTTCACTGACACCAGAACCCCCAATGGATGGTGTAAACCAGCCTTGTGCCATGGATGGAGATCCTGATCCGTGTGAAACAAACAGGCCTATAGTTTGCACTGATTATGATCTTTCTGGCATGGGGCCACCTTATAGAAAATACTGCTAGACACAGAAGTAATCAATTAGCAGGTGAGGCTTTGGCTTTTGACACTGATATTGGCCAAAAGAAATGCAGACCCAGAAACAATTGCATCACTCGAGAGACAAAGTCCAAGGTTGCAACCCAAAACTTGTTGACAAATGTCATTTTCCCCTCAATATTCAACAGTTTTTTACAGCCACTGCTCCCTCTTCAGATTGTGATAGAAAGTACCCACTAAAATTGTCTACAAACTTTCTGCCAATTAAAGTGGTGCTGAATTTGCTCACACCAACCTTCGGTTCTCATTTTGGTTGGAACAATGATATCACAGAGGCATAACTGAAGTTGTGAAAATGCCCAACCAAGGACTAAAGCAGAAACATGTTTTCTTGTCACCGGTGCACAAACACACCCCTGGAATGTTGTCAAAAGGTGACTCGGTTTCAATCAGTACTGGAGGTGCAGGGATTTTCCCAGCTCAGCCCTAGTCAATCTTGAGCATTTCACTTCTTTTTTTCTCAGGACAACATGTATTAATAAACTGTTTGTTAACGCCTACATGCACTGGGCTCGTGCTTTCACTGTCTTTGCTCATCCATGTCAAAACAACTGTGCTGTTGGTCCACCTGAGTTGCATGCACTCTAGCACGCTTTGATAACATTTGCCGACGTGTCATTGTAAAGATCATGATAGTAAATCCATTTGAAAACCTCAGTAGGTGGTCTGGTTCCTAATTAGTCCTCCTCTCCCCCATCAAAGACGTGAAATGCTTTCAGCTCTTGCCCAAAATGCAGGGATTTCCCTAAATCAGCCCCTCATCAATGTTAGACTTTTCATTTTTCCTGTTTTTGAAGGAGAGAGAGAGAAGTGCACAGATGATATCCTTTACAAACTTTTTTGTAATACCTCTTGAGGAACTAATTGTTTAATCCAACGCGCACCTGCTGTAATTCCTCTGTAACAACGCAAGCACACATACAAAGGATACAGCAAACTCCTCTACATGAATTGTAAGAACATTTTCATTGGTTGCTAGGGGTAAACTGTCAATACAGTTTTGTTGTTTCTTCGGAATGGCTTAGAATTTAGTCTTTCTCCAGGAGGGTATTTAAATGTGTGTGTTATTGAAGATCAAGCCAGTGTGGTAAAAAGCAGTAAACCACAGAACTGACTGATACTTGACACTGAGAACACTTCTTGCACAGGTTCGCAGGATGGCGACAGCAGATGATCACCAAGCACAAGGAGTAAAAGCGGACGACAGCGCATATGAAGGTTTCTTTGCAACTACTGACCTCCAGCCCAGGGAGGTAGAACGACGAAAACAAGACCAAAACTGGGACATACTGCAGTCTGAGGTAATGCATCTTAACAGCAATGCCGTATCCAGCTTTTGGTGTCGGGGGAAAATTCAAAAGCAAATGCAGCTTCAGGCTCATTCAACATGATGCTGGAGGAGAAAACAATACCAAAAACCTTATTTGCGATCCTTACATCCTGGCTTTTATTTTATGGTGTTGTTTTCTTAGGGGATTAGTTACTTTTATTTGATACCTATTGAGTATTCTTTGCCAAAAAAAAAGTTGCCCCCTTCTCGTCTCCCCATACGGCAATGCATCATAGGGTTATGCTGATTATTTTGACATGCAGATACTCAACCATTTATCAAATATTTGGTCTTTTCAAAATGATTTGCTGGTAAAAGTCATAAAAACAAAGAAGGGAAAAAAATTAAAGTATCTGATCTATCATTTTGTTACAAAATCATTTTTCTAAAAGATGTTACCAATAGATTTAATAAAGGTAGCTACATGCATCCCCAATACGGGCCAAAAATACCTCTTCTTGTGTCCATTTGCATACTTTGGTAAAAATATGTATATTTTATTTTTTGTTTTGTGAGAATTTGGTACAGCCGAACATTTCAAAAATAAATCAAATGGAAGGTCAACATTCAAATATATGTTCAACAAAACAAACTGGCTCCACTTGAACACGTCAAATGACTTCTCCCCATCTCCCCTTCCTCCCTGTGTTCTATAAAGAAAACAAGACTGAGAATTTTGTTCTTAAAGATGCTTTTTCGTGGGTTTTTTTCCTTTGATGACAGGGCAAAATTTCTTCCAAAACGTTGTCCCTATCTAACTGCGACCTTAAGCAACTACCACGTGAGGTTCTACATATGACAGAGCTCAGCAGACTGTACCTGACCTACAATGACTTGGGCGAGCTGCCTGATGTCTTCTTCAAGCTGAAAAACCTGACCATCCTGAATCTGGGCTTCAACATTTTTCGGCATATTCCGCCTGTGATTTTCGAGCTGAAAAATCTGGTGGTACTGGTCATGAAGAACAATGGGGTGACACATGACCGAATAGGTAAGCTGGACTATCAGGTTTTGTATCTGTTAGCCTTCTACTGCATTAGCATTATAAGATTTGACAGATTACAAAGTAAATTTTTTTTCAAGTTGGATTGCACAAGATTCTGTGACAACAAAACCTTTCAGTAGGCTTGCTCTATCCAATTTCCAACTCTTGATGATGGACTATTGACAATACAATGACCCCACATTTGCAAAAAAAAATCTATACATGCGTGTCTGTAAAGCAAGCAATCAATTCTGCAACTTTTAAAGGGCACACACTCCCCGAAATCTGAACTAAGTCCCCTTTTTTTGACTAAATGTAATTAAAAATTGAAACTTCAAACCAACACCACCTTGCGTAGAACGGATAAAAATAAATAAAGGACCATGACATTTGTTTTATTCTGGAGAGGATTTTGTGGATTTTGAATGACATACTCAGGCAAAGGTATCAGCCGGTTGACAAACCTGGAAGAAATCTACCTGGACAACAACAAGCTGGAGGCATTTCCAGAGAAACTCTGTGACCTTCCAAGGTTGAGAATCCTGCAGCTTTCCAATAATGCCATTTGCAAGATTCCAGACAGAATCAGCAAAATGAAGGTACAACATTTTACCTCACTCCTTGAAAAACTATTCAGGGTGTAGGATTTAGGGAGGGCATTAAAGGAGGTTGAGCTCTTTGCAGGACAAACTAGAGGACATTTCATGTTTACTTAATTTTTTTTTGAGGGGGAGGGGAATGAAATGCCTTTTATGGACCTTTTTTTCTTGATTCTTGGTTGCAATTCCTCCAAAATACTCCTTGTGAAGTTTTAACAGGAGGTGGTGGAGGATGGACTTATGATGAACCTTCCAAAAGGAGCTGTCTTAAATTTAACTGCATCTGTTTGTGTAACTAATGTAGGGTAGACATGGTAGAGACAATTCCATGCTTTGATTGTACACGGAAGAATGAATTTTGTACACTTCCGAGTTTGTGGCTGGTATTACAAACTGAGTTGAGTGACCTCGTCTGCTCCAAGCAGATTTTGACTTGGTGTGGGCTTGACAATTTACGTTGAGATTTCCATGTTGCATTTTGTAGAAGCAGATCAGGCGGTGTGCTTCACGTTTGTCCTGGAGGGTGCTCCATTCAAGTGAGGCAAAAATAAAATTAATAAACAAAATTCTGGTGCAAGATGACTTCAACTTTTCTGCAAAATAACTATTACCAACCTACGCAGACAAAAGGCTTTTTAGCACAATGCCGTGAAACTTCTGTATTATATTGCCACATCTGGGTTGCATTATACAATGTGCAGCGAGATGTACCATGTACATGTACGATAGGTTGATTTATGTTTACCTATCCTGAAAGGTGTTTTCTCGGGTGAGAACTATGTGGCAGAAATCTGTTCAGCACTGAAAAATCTAGGTACTACTTTATAAATCTTTCTCTTTTGTTTTGTGGGGCATTTTAGAAGTTGCAATATCTCAACATGCGATCTAACCGACTGACGGTGGTTCCTAAAACTGTTGGAGAGCTACAGTCCCTAGAAATGGCTTGCTTTGCCCAGAACATGATCCACACATTCCCGTTTGAGAAGGTAAGTTGCATTCCATTTGCATCTGCCTTGAGAAGAAGCACCTCTTTGGTGAGAAGAGACATCAGTGGGGAATGTTCCTTTTGTTGGTAGCGACATGACCGTAGCATGTGCATTTCATCCTTTGTAGACCAGCGAAATGCAGATCCCACCAAAGGAGCCTCTGTAGCTAGGAAAATTGTACCTACTCTTGGTCCTACTCAGGCCAGATAAAGCCAGAAAAGTTAAGTTTGGCAATCACAAATGTGAAAATGAGGATGGACATGTCGTCCTGCATGTATGCATTTAACACTGTACTCTATGGGCATGACATGCTCCTACAAACTTCATAGGAATCATTTTTTTCTGGATGATGTGTTAATTGAAACTATTACTGTATATAAAAAATCCAAACAAGAGGTGCACTGCCCCATCCCCATACCTGCAACAGTGGTCAGGGTTACCACAGGGAACTCTCAACTTCTTCCACAGGTGGAGAAACTCAAGAGACTCCGTGACCTCTGCCTGTATGCCAACAGACTCAAAGACAGAGACAAAATTGAGCAGTGCATGCACCTACTCGCCAAACAGGAGGGAATGCTGCGTGCTGAGGAGAATCGATGCTACCTTCCCAGGCTTGGAGGTGAGTCAGTTATTTCTAAAGTCAATCAACAGACCTTATTCGAAAGGAAGCCATTTTTTATCATGCTCCCTGAATCGATCTTGTTGAATGTAATCTGTCAAATGGGGTGGTGCCAGACATGTTCATCACTTTCATTTTTTAAACACTGCTTAAAACATTCAGATTTAGTCAATCCCAAATTTTTAAATTATTCATCATCATAAATGAAATTAATCTGTGACAAACCTTTTTTCCATCACTATTATATTTATGCTTAGGCTCCAAAAATAAAAGGTAAACCTCACTGTCAATTCAAAATGGCCAACTCATGAAAAGAGTCTACACGTATTCATTCAGCTGGTGGTGGGGGGATGTGGCCAAAGCACCACCCACGTCGTACATGGATCCACAGCACTTTCTCAACTTTGTGCACATTTATTGATACGTATACACTGAACATGCATGTTGTCACAAACATAAAAGGTCAAATGTAGATGTAGAAGATACAATGCCATATTCCTAGTGTCCTGATGGACAATTCTGGGCACCCACGGGCTTGTCTAGGTCACAGACACAATTGATTTGGCTAAGACTGGATATAAACATATCTGCCAACAGAATACTATCAGTGGTGTTGATTTGTGCCAGAAATTGGAGGATGGGGGATAGAGAAAGGTGGGGAGGGGATAACATTAAAATCTGAAAAGCAGGGGAGGGGAATGACATACATGTAATATAACTCTTTAGAGGTCAATGGTCATGATATCAATGTACATGTACACCTTTAATAGGTATTCCATGTGGCAGATTTATGGCTTTTTAAATCATTTTCCCTTTTTGAGTGACACAGAATGCATTTTAGTTGTTGGAAGTCTGAAAAATTCTTTACAATGCGCTTCAAATTTTTGCTCACCACAAAAAGTGGGGGGAGGGGATGATTCAATCATCCGTCCTCCACCTAAAAAGTAGGGGGGATATATACCCCCACCCACAGGATTAGTGCCCATTATCCATGCTTCTAGCAGTCGGCATTGTTTATATCTGTGCTTTACTGCCCATTGTAATGCATGTACATGTACATGTGTGTACACATGTGCACAGTCCCATGTTTTAGCATTGTGATTTATTTCCGACCGTACTTGCAATTTATATGTATATGTATCTGGGAATAATTAGTAGTTTCAGGTTGAATTAGATTAAAAGTACTGTTAAATATTTCCAGATAATAAACAAATTATTATTAGCATTACAAGTATTTGTAGCTAAATTCAAGCCATTTGAGTGCTACAAAATGGACCTGTCATTCAACACCTACATCAATATATCAAAGTTTTCAAACACAGAAGCACAGAGGCTTTTTCCTCTCCTAAGGCCGGTTTGTACTTCAAGTGAATGGAAAAGCAAAGCAATTTTGACTACACGAAACTTTACACATCAAAATTTACTCTAGCTTAAGTGTTTAAAACCTTTGAGAATTCACAGTACAGTACAATCATTTGATCTTATGTTCCCAAACTGTGTTCCTGTATTCCTGTTTGTGCCAAGTGTGCACCAGACTTCACAAAAGAACTATTTGTGCACAGGGGTGTGTGATGGCCCTTTCAAAGTGTGGCAGCAGGACATTCTGTGGATCCGTGACAACGATGTGAAAGTGGTAGCCTGGGTGCACGATATGGCAGAGAGGCTCGAAGACAACCACGTCATTTCAAAAGTAGGTACCTTAATCTCAAATTTCAAGCAACTAAACTTTGACCACATGCATTTTAATGACGTCAAAGGACCACGCATTTCCATACAGCGAGGACTGAAGTAGCATCACCCTGGGTCTGATCTGTGTCTGATCAATGTCTGATCCAGGTCGGATCTGGATCTGATGCTGGTCTGAATCAAATCTAACCTACATGTACATGTCATAAAACAATGGCTTGCAAAAAATGCCTGATCTTTCTTAAAGCCAATTTTGGAAAACACGCAAGCTTTTAAAGCGACTAAAGTCCCCAGTAGAAAAGCCTTGTACTTGTACAAAGCTAAGGACTGGAAAGGGGGTATAACGGGTAGAAGAAATTAAACAGCACAAGAAGAATGCCTCTTCCACAACTACATGTCTGTGGAAAACTGAAAAATATCAACAGACCTCTGTACTGGTGATGCCACACTCATTTTTACGTGTGCTTTCCTATGGTGTTCAGCGGACCACTGGCCCCTACAAGAAAGTGTATGTGGGCAGTTCTGTAAATTAGGGGCTCAAGTGTTTGTCCCCTCAAACCCATCATATGGCTTTGTGAGTTTGGGATGTGTTCCTCAATTTCCAAGAGTTATTAAGTAATGCAAATTTTGCCAAACGAATGACTATATTTTGAAATCGACTATATCAGATCTCACGATAGTATGTATAACACAGTCACCAACAATGTCATACTTTGAACCCCTATTTACAGAATTACCCCCATCCTTAGCCTACTGGGGTAATGTCACAGTGTGGAGCACTTTGACACTGTTAATGTTTACAAGAATATGCTGTGGTTTGATATTCTCACTGTATAGAAGTGCAAACCAAACAGGTCTGCACTGCCAACTCTGATGAGGAACAGCCGGATCGTGTGCGTAGTGTGCACCAAGCAGATGTTTAAGAGGCTGGAGGGGGATGAAGACCCGGCAGACGCCATCAGGAGATACCTGAGTCAGAGCCCAGAGCACACCATCATGACCGTGGCTTACGAGGCCACCGGGATCCACACTCTCCTGATGCCTGATGGCAGGCCAAATTTCCACTTGCAGCGGACCTCAGATGATGACGGTGACAAAGCGCTGTTCTGCAAATTGTTGGATCATGTGAAGAATGCCCCTCGAATCCGTACGCCTTGAGAAAGAGCTGGGTGGCATTCAAAACCAACGATTCAAGCCTTCTACTAAAACTACTACTAAAATGGAATATGTAAGGAGGCCAATTCACCCTCAAAGTTACTTACAATTATGTCTGATCAGAATTGTACACAAATTCCCCTGGGCAGTGTGTACCTCTTATCGTACATGGTCAAACGTGGTCAACATGAGCAGATTATTATGTGTCATTCCAGTACCTGTGCGTACTTCCATAAAGTTTTGCTTTTGTTTGCATGAATTTTCAGACCTTGAGCTTGTAAACATAATTCCGTGACTCTTCCAGGTCAGAGGAACCCTGCTGTCCTCATCTCTCTGACTAAGATTCTCATGCTCTGTTGCTCTACTTTAATTTACATCAGGAGGATTTTCAGGACCCTGGCAAAAAAGAAAGCACTTCACACAGTGAAAGATTTCAGAAGGTTCAAGTGAAAGTGCCGGGGGAGTTACAGTTAAACATTCCCCTCAAGTTTGCATCAGTTGATTTTCAAAGATTTCTGAAAATTGCGCATTATTGTGTGGTCAGGAAAATCTGACGACAAGAGAGTGGCAAAATACGAAATCCTTTTGAACAGATCTATTTTAAGATACATTTATGATCTTGAAAAGGATCATTGTGCCAAGCAAAACAAAATGAAAAGCATAAACAATTTATGGCCTTTTGGAGAGAAATGACAACAAAAATAATGGCTTTTCAACAGAGACTGAAGAAAAGCTTCAAACAGGACTCCAAATGCTTTGTTAGATTTCAACATGGGGATTCACATTTCTGAAATATGATCATTTAAATTTGGAACATTTTATTCAGTTTGACTGCTGTTGTAAGTGGATTACGTCTACATCATGTGACTGTCTCTGAACACTTTGTAAGGATTTAAAACAGGAATTGACATTAAGAAAATTGGATGTACTTAGACTTTGAATGTTGTAAACAAAAACTGACTTTTGCATTGACTACAATTGTGTGAGACAATTTAGCTGGTTTGCTGTGCTGCTTGCATGTTCTGTTTCATGAAGAAAATGCTTAATAGGATGTTAGGTGTGCATGTTGTTTAGCAGAGCAAACACTTTAGACACTTTGTGTTGTCAAAATGGACTGTTCTGAGCAGGATGTTGCGATGTAGAAATTTCCCGTTTACAGTGATTGCAGAATGTTTGGAAGTGAATATTCCTTGGCACAAGTTGAAGTTTGTGCTGCTGTACAAGTAACAGAAAAATTATCCTTAGACTGTTAGAGTTTGGGGTAAATTTCAGCCATTTTCCCCTTCAGTACATGGCCCTTCCAGGCAAAATCAATCTGGAACTTTCACAGCATATATTTTGGCACATTTTGTACAAAGAAACATCACAAGAACAGAGAAAACACAGTGTGACAGAAAACACCCAGTATTGTATTTTGGTTGTATCTTCATCTCAATCTCTGCCCTTGGCCCAAATTCATAACACTGCTCAGCAGCCGATTTTCTGATGTCGGAGCCTCTGTCTATATTTTGGAGCAAGTTAAGCAGTTAGCACAGCAAAAGAAACTTAATCCTGAAGGGAAAGATACATGTATTTATGCAAACATCCCAACCAAGAAACAGCGCTAAGGCAGCAGGATGATTTCTGCTAGGGTAAGCACATCATTTTGCTGTTTTATTTAACAGTGGTATGAAGTTGGGCTAGCAGTTTCCGACAACACATCAAAGTTGTGTTTAAAATGTGTTTCATGACCACGTTTTGTTTTTGTGCAGTGGTGACTTGGATGATTGCATTCAAGTAACAATGGAGGTAATGATGAGCTTTATTGGGAATTTTTTGATAAATGAGAATGGCTTCAAACAAAGCAGAAAGGCTAGTTTTAAGAAAAATGTACATGTACAATAATCAATATTGATTGCTGTGAAAAACTGATTACAGCTGTTTCTAGGTAGAATGGACCACTTGCAACTATCAAAACAATAGCTGATCAAATTGGCTCAAAGAAAGTAATGTCTTATGCTATTACTTTGGAAGTTAGATTGGATTTTGAACAGGATCATTAAGTAAAACTGACAAAACATGACAAAGTAACTTGTGAATTGATAATAATACCCATAAATACTGCTTACCGGTAGTATGGTTTCATTCAATCTGTATTCAATTATTTTAATTTCAAAACTTCATTAAGTCAATGATAATAATTTGGCTTTGATAATGACAATTTCATAATGGGTTTTGCCCTTGCAATAATGTGTATATCCACAATGAGCAAGCTTGTGATTTTTTGGTAACTCTGAGAACACACTGAGCATACAGCACTTGTGAATATAATTTCCCAAATATGATGAAGTCCTATTTTGGTACGGTACCTTCTAGAAGCCCACCCTCTCACAGTTGCCTACAGTCAGTTTCAACAGGTTTTATACAGTGCAATGCAGCTTCATGAGTCAATACAGCGCAAGATGAGGTTTATGGACACCTGGTACTCTTTTTTATTGAATAAGTTGAATATTTTATCCTTGTGGAAAAACTGCATGACTTTTGAATAGATGCGTACATGTACAGCATATCACATTTGGGAGTTCTTGCATTTGGCTTTGCACGGGACTCTGCACTTAACAATCCAACTGACTTCCACTGGCTATCCCTATTGCCGAGTATAATTCAGCCTAAATCTCTTAGAAAGAGTTGACAAACCCATCTCGGAGCATTCCTGGAAAGGTTGAAATCTGCCTACTACCACAGTGATAGAATCAGCGTTTAATATGCTTTGAGGTAAATCTAGGTATGCATGAACTTTAGGTTCACCTCGATCTTAACGACAAGCGAGTTACCAGTTGTTAAAAACAACTTAGTGAGAACATGGACTCTTCTATTGCTCACACTCAAACTACAGCCTGTATGCTGATTCACATGTGAAAGCTTTCTGGGTGTTGAAATGACTGCAGCACCTCCAACCACATTTTATGCCATACAGCGCATTGTGAATCTTGCCGAGAGGCCTCATTTACCGTAACATGCCTAATAGCTGGGGGTGGGGCAAACACCATCCCCTTTACATTTTCACTGATATCGTTACAATACATTTTTTTTTCTTTGTGCCAAGCCTTCAGGTGTAATTACACTGATTTTTACAGTCATTTTTATCTTAATTTTATGCAAATTGAACATACGTGTACATCGTATCATACCCTACTCTCATAAAGTACCCATTTCTGGAGGGCAGCTTGGCTAAAAATAGTAACATTTCCCGGTGACATGCGCTCAAAGCAGCATAGGCTGATATGCATGACATAATGAACCAAATGAACTTCACAGGTGTAAGACTTGAAGGCTTTCATGGTGAAAGTACTATAATTAGTGCGGCATACTTTTATTCCTTTATGAAGAGTTGCCAGGCAACATGTCAACAGAATCCCTGGGGAGTGTCCCCTACTAAGTTTTCAACATAACCACACTGTCCGGCATACTATGCACAAACACTATTAGTTACGGCAGCATACTTTTATTCCTTTATGAAGAGTTGCCAGGCGACATGTCAACAGAATCCCTGGGAAGTGTCCCCTACTAAAAGTTATCCTGTTATCTTGGTGGAAAGGGAGTTCACCTGTTTTTTAAGCTTATATTTAAAAGGCCACCTAACCAAAAATGCAAAAATATTTCACAAATCTACTGATGTCACTTTAAAGTATCATCTTTGCCTCTACTTGAGACATCAAATTATTGCTTTAAGTGTCACCCTCATGCTCTTTGTGCAGCTTGCATTGAAGTCTATTTTTAGAACACACAAAATTGACATTTTTACCTCACATTTGCCCCTTAAAACGTCAACTTACGGGGGGTCTCAGAATATTTTCCTTTCAGTTGTGATTAGGGCCAATGTTGTGGTGAGGAAATCTTGGGCAATCGTAACCCGCTGTGCCAGTATTGCCTCCAATATGGTCATCTTTCACAAAACAGAAAAATGCATTTTGGGTCTCTTTTCAGTCTGAATCAATAATTAAAAGATGCTGTAAACCCCTACACTTCTTCAACAATGTAATCAATCTGATGCGGTTGCAGTGACAAGATTTTGTTTAGCTGGTGGTAGAGTGGCTAGAATGCTGGGTTGCAGGGCTTGATTCTGAGCCATTCCATCTTGCTTTTTTCCAGCCTAAAGAAGTTGCAAGATTCTCTTTTTCATTTTAAAAATTGATTCCTATATCTCATTGCAAGTAAGTTGTTTTTCCTTTGCTGATGTGTACCATAGCTCTGAAGTGTGTTTTAAATGGAAAACGTGTGAAATTAAAATACATATATCTAAAATGAACAAAGGCATTTTTTTCAAACCACAAAAAGCGGAAAAGCCTTATGTTCTGATAAAACAGGCATTCATGTAGAGCCTTTAATTTTTAAATTCATATTTGACTTGTTCGCAAATGTTTATTTGAGAGAACGATCATCAACCATCATCAAACATTTTGGGCTACATTGTTTATTTCCACCACTGCAACTCCAACAAAACTTTGCCTCAAATGAGTAATTTGCTCACAGAAGGGCAAAAATGCTGTACGGTAACAGCTTGATATTGATTGGAAAAGTCTATTTTGTTTAATTACACCAAAAGTCCTGTCATCATACAAAGTATGAAAACATATGATTTTTGACCAAGGATAAATGTCTGATATTTACGTGAAATGACTCTAAAGTGGTATTACATGTAACTCAGACATGATGGCCTCATCGCGACATCACTATGAAATTTTACCTACATGTAGAACAGGTTCCTGCCGATAAACCAGGCAATATTCAATTTAATTGGAGGTGTCCTAAGATACTGGCCTTTGAAGACAGCACCCAGAAGGTGGTGTCACATGACAAAAGCTGCAGCTTCAGTTGGTCTGCTGAAAGCAAGGTAGGATTCAAAGGATTCAAACAACTAGAGTTTTACAGAACCCAGGAAACAAAAGAAGACAAGTTACATGTATCTCCACTGGTACATGCACATGTACGTGGTATTTTCCAGGACCTTAAATAGTACAGGATCGTATGCAGGGTGTCCCCAAAAATGAAACCCAAAAGAATGATTTATTTTCTCCAAAACTATTCAGGGTTTGTTTTTTTTTTCCATTTTTTTTTTCCCGGCTAATGTGAGTAAGGTGATGTGGGAGGCCAACTACACTGGCATGAAAAGACTCTTACGTCCATTTTGAAAAACTCGGCGGGCGGTACCGTTATTGTTCAATTATTGTTCTGTTTCATAAAGGTGAATGACTTTGAAATTATTGCTAGGAGAACAGGGATTTCCCCAAATCAGCCCCACAGAACATTTTCTTTGGGTATCTCGACATTCCCTTTCTAATCTGCCAAACAATTCAAAAAGCATACGTGTGTGCGATGGTGAACTGTTGTCACTTTTATAAATGGTTGCTAGGCAGACTGCAGTCACACAAATGAATTTTGTATTAGCGATAAATGGGGTACTGCTAAGAACTTTTGGGGGAAAATGTTTGAATGTCTGTGCTATGAAATTTTCAGCCAGTGAGCACATAAAAGTCGATGACGCAAGGACGGCAGTCAGATATTCTGCATTGCATTGCCTGAGGAGGTAGGCATGATGGCAGCATCAGATAGTGACAGTGCATGCAAAGGTTTCTTTGTAACTACTGACCTACCGAAAGATGAGGTGGAACAACGAACAAGACGGCAAGAATGGGATATATTGGCATCTGAGGTAACTCGTGATTTTTTACACTCTCTTCCAAGTGTTGCAGAAGGGGGATTTAGCACTCATCTTTCCATCTTTGTGCTCTATGGCAGGGCGTAAAATCTTCAGAGACTTTGTCCTTGTCGTCTTGTAATCTTTGTCGACTTCCGCCGGAGATTCTGGAGATGAGAGACCTCACCAGACTGTACCTGACCTACAACGACTTGGACGAGCTGCCTGTCGACTTCAACCAGCTGAAAAACCTGAAAATCCTGAACCTGGGCTTCAACTCTTTTCGGCATATTCCGCCTGTGATTTTTGAGCTGAAAAATCTGGCGGTACTGACCATGAAGAACAACCAGGTCACACAAGACCAAATAGGTAAGCAGTGCAATCAAGATTTTTATTTGTCTGCACTCTTCTCCGTACATTGTAGGTAGCATGGGGGGAATTTAAACTCTTCAATTTTAACTCGAAGGTAAAATTTAAAAAATTACATAGTGAAGCTCTTGAGGTTGGCTTTAAGAAAATCCTGTGATAGTGAAAAGTTCTGCATGACTGAGTCTAATTTCCAACTGTGCATGGGTTTCAGTGTAAGTGGAGATTGGGAAAAGTTTTTGAAAGCAGCCAGCCAGTGCTTTACCAACCATGTAAGACTAGCCACTAGGCTCTCGACCAACAGGAAAACTGTCTCAGGTGTTTATGAATTTGGATGCAATATTATTCAGGTAAAGACATCAGCCAACTGACAACCCTCGAAGAAATCTATCTGGATAACAACAAGCTGGAGGCATTTCCAGAGAAACTCTGTGACCTTCCAAGGTTGAGAATATTGAAGCTTTCCAACAATGCCATTAGACAGATTCCTGAAAGTATAAGTAAAATGAAGGTATGAAGTTTTTCCTTAATCCCTAAAAAGCAATGGGGGTAAGGGACTCGGGGAGAGGGTGAAAGGGGATTGACCTCTCTGCAGGACATAACAGTGTACCGGTACTTCAGATACATCGATTGGGCAAATGAAATATATATTTCAGAGACCTTTTACAATTTCATGTTCTTAAATGCATGTAAATTTAAGAATCTAGGACAAGTCCATGTTAATCATTAAACAAGGTAGAGACATGAAATCCCCATCACACTCAAATACAATCCTACTAAATCCTCAAGAAAATCAGAAGAGCGTGGCCAATCGTGGTGAGATCTTGTACATGTACATTGTAGTAAGAACTCAGTGGGAACTGATACAAAGTGAGAGGGCCTTCATGGAGGGAGAGGTCTAGGGCTGAGTCAAGTCAAAGAATTCACTATTTGAATATTCGACTTCAATTTGATCGAACATCCGAACATTCAATCGTATTGACTGGCAGATTGTTGATGAAATGTTACCAAACGAGACTATAGAATTTTCAACACAATGCAGTGAGACAACTTGTATCTTACTGCCACATTTAGGTTGCATTGAAAAATGAACATAAAGGGGCCTTTTTTTTTTAAACTGAGCCAAAAAAAGTCCTCCTTTGCCAAGGCTAATAATGTACCAGTAGTGGAAATCTGATCAGCCATGCAACTCCAGGTACCAAAAATTTTGTCTGTTAATCATTTTGTCCTGTGGCACTTTTTCAGACGTTGCAAAGTCTCAACATGCAATCTAACCGACTGACGGCAATTCCTAAAACTGTTGGAGAGCTGCAGTCTCTAGAAACGGCCTGTTTTGCCCAGAACATGATCCACACATTCCCCTTCCAGGAGGTGAGTGGCATTTCACATTTGAAGCCAGGAAAGTCACGTGAGTTTCTCAAGATGTGATATGAACAAGAATGTGTCATCCTGTAGTATTTGGTTTTAAGTAACTGGTTTTAAGAGAGTGTGAGAGACTGTGTTGTCACCTTTATTGAAAATTCAGGTTGAAAAAAAATTATCAATAAAAAGTTAAGTGATATCCCAATATTTGAAGTTTTAATATTTAAAGTACTTCAAGATTGTTCACCACCAGTCAAAATTGTCCCAGGTGATGTGTTGAACGGAACTATACAAATCTTTACCCAAAGTGCACCGCACCCACACTTGCAACAGCTAGCCGAGTGACCAAGGGGCTCTAACTTCTTCCACAGGTGAAGAAACTCAAGAGACTGCGTGACCTCTGCCTATATGCCAACAGACTCACTGACAGAGACGATATTGAGTGGTGCATGCAGCTACTTGCCAAACAGGAAGGCATGCTGCGTGCCGAGGAGAACCGATGCTGCCTTCCCAGACTTGGAGGTTAGTGCATTATTCGATCCAACCACAAAAATTAGGAGGAAGAATATAAGATGACAAGTACCAACTGTTGCACTGACAATCACATCCTAGGCATTTAATCAGCAAATGTATGAGGCCATTGAAGTGTTACACAGCACAGTTCACATCAAATGTCATTATCATATCTCATACATATTCATGACTGAGAGCCAAAATTCTCACTGGTTCATTCATCATCACCGGCAAAGGACGAGTTAATAGAGTAATGCTAAAGTCACATACTTTAATCCAATGACTGTGCTACTGAATGCATAGATTTCTGAATTGTTTGGCCGTGGCTTACAAGCAGATGCTGCCGATGGCATTGTAGATTCATGGCTAATTTCAAGCAAAAGCCGAAATAATTTGGACATGGCCTGACACAGGGCTAGGCAGATTTCGTCGTTACTAGTAGCAGAGTGATGGAACTGAAATCATGAGAATGGCTGTTCAAATGACCAGACTCCAATGTACATGCACATGCAGAAGGCATGGCTTCAAATGCCTTTTGTATCTGCCCTGAATTGAAGTGCGCTCTAACCAGCGAAAGGAAGGCAGACGGGTATGAAGTTTTCCAGTCTGGTTTTTGCTCGCGTTTGGTCTTACCACAAGACTGTTTTTATTCTTTTGGCCAATGCACTGTGCAGGCGACAGCACGGACAAGCACAGCTGAATAACACTACCACTAGAGAGTGCTACATTCACAAGAGACAAACTGCCAGAAAACCAGTCTTGTAAAATCCGCAAGGCTTACCTGAAAAATTTTGAGCATATCTCATGCGCTCAAGTTACCGTGAAAAATTGCACATGCGCATTGCCAACAACTGCACATTGCGGAGACAGGCACCCTTATGGTTCGCATGCACACCAGGGCATGTCGCCTGCATGGCGCACCAGTCAAAACAGTAAAACCAGTCTTGGGGCAAGACTAGCTCGCACTCAGCGTGCACGTGAAGGCCACGCATTCCAGAAAAAATTTGTTTTGCATACTCAGCATGCTCCGCGTAAACATGCAAAGCCTTGCACACCTATGTAGTGAGTTAGTACCAAAGGACTGCTAATTTCATTTAAAAGCACGCCCTCTTCTGTTCCCACTCAGAGCGGACTGGGTGAGTCAGCTCCGTCGACACACTACCAGCTTGTCGCCAACATGCGTAAACCTTAACTTGAATAAATTTGTTACTTTGCATCGCTATTGTAAATCAATGTCAAAGCTCCCTGGGACAGAAACACTCCTGTTTGCCTTTCTTTATAATGACGTTTCTATCGATAGGTGTGTGCGACGGCCCTTTTAAAGTGTGGAAACATGACATTCTCTGGATCTGTGATAACGAGGAAAATGTTAAATCCTGGGTGAATAAGATGGTCAAAAAGTTAGAAGCGGAGAACTTCTTTTCAGCAGTACATGTAAGTAATTAATCAGCTGACCTGAAAACTTACAAAGTGTGAACCACTGCAGACCCACTCACTGGAGAAAACAGAAACCTAAAGTTGTTTTTTCAGTATACATGCAAGCCCAAGCACTGCCAAAGTTGATGGGTGGAATCCTCGCTACTGCGAGATCACAAGAACCATTAAGACGCTCATGTGGCCTCTCTAGTTTAGGCATCCACATAGTCTGCAAAAAATTTAACCGTGTATCATGTTCACGTTTTTACCAGTGTTGCAAAGAACATCTGAGAACCAGGCACAAAGAAAGTTGTCATTTCATCTGAAACGCTTCTAAAAAAATGCGATGTACATAGACACAAAGGAAAGCACATCGTTGGCTTGTTTTTCAGAATGCAAATCTCTTCACACGTACATACATCACACATATATCTTTCGAGGGAGGAAAAAATGCCTCACAACACTATTTGTGGAATTAACTCCAGACCAGAAACTACAAATATTTTTGGCTTTTCAAAGTCACATAGTTTGCACAACGAAGTGCTGAAGCAACACCATATTGTAAGAAACTGTGTGAACACTAAAAAAAGGTTCCAGTGTGTTCAACTCACCATATACATGTGTAAGTTCTTATAGCAGTACTACAATCAGGCAGTTACCGCAGAAACACATAAAAACTGGACAGGAATTAATATTGTCCTCTGAGAGAGGTCTTTTGTTAAAAGTGGTCCTTAGAAATGCCTGTGAGCGCAAAATCTGCTGGATATTGGTTGTATTAACGGGCCCACGCCATTAGGATCCAATGAAGCCAGACATCAAGTATATTTTATGTATAAAAGAGTACCTCATTTTCAACTGAATTCGCACAAGTTGGCAAAGAAAGAATGCCCGGTATACACGTAACAATCATATCCGTGCATACTTCACAGACACTGCTGTTGCTTATCTTGGCACAAGTCTGATACTAAGAATAACCATAAGGATGTCAACTGGGACACAGGCCAGCACAAAACACTTGGACAATCATAATGTTGACAAGGGTGTCCTGTCTGGTTACTTTCACTGTCTAGAAGTGTAAACCAGGCAAGTCCACGCTGCCAACTCTGATGAGGAGCAGCCGGATAGTGTGCGTGGTGTGCACCAAGCAGATGTTTGGGAGGTTGGATGGTAGCAAAGACCCAGCAGAAGCCATCAGGAGTTACCTGAGTCAGAGCCCAGAGCACACCATCATGACCCTGGCTTATGAGGCCACCGGGATCCATACTCTCCTGATGCCTGATGACAGGCCAAACGTTCAGCTGCAGAGGAAACCAGATGATGATGGGGACTCAAAGTTCTTCAGCAAATTGTTGGATCATGTGAAGAATGCCCCCAGAATCCGCAAGCCGTAGGAAGGGCTGGGTCACACTCAAAACCAACGATTCTACCCTACTACGAAAAACTACAACTAAAAGTGGAATATACATGTACATGTACGAAGGCCTATTCACCCTGAGAGTTACTTACAATCTTTTACACACTTTCACCTGAGAAGTGTGTACCTCTTACATGTTTAAAACACGGTCAGCGATTATAATATGCCATTCCTGTACTTGTGCATACTTCCATAAACTTTTGCTGTGATATGTGCACGTTTGCATGACTCTTCAGAACTGAAGCTTATGAACAAAATTCCATTACTCTCCCTGGTCAAAGGAACCCTGTTGACCCCTCTCCGATTCTTATACTCTGTTGCTCTCAACACTTTAATTTACTCAGGAGGACTTGCAGGGTCGATGAAGCTAGAGCCACAGGCTACAAAGAAAGTACTTTGCCTTTGAAAGATTTCAGAACATTCAAGTGAAAGTGCCAGGGGTGTTAAATAAACATTCCTATTTGCATCAAGTGATCTTAAAATTATTTTTAAAGATTTGGGAAAAATGCACAATGGTATGGTCAGGAAAATCAGACTACAAGAAAGTGGCAAAACACAAAATCCTTTCAAAGCAGATTCATCAAAAGGTATATGTATGGCGTCCAAATATGATCCTTGTGCCCCTCTGAAAAGTTAGTGTACAAAATTTATGGCCTTTGTGGAAAATGAAAAACAAGAAGAAAAATTGGTACAAAAATGATGGCTTTACAACAGAGACTGCAGAAAAGTTTTGAATAAGACAACAGTCATTTTGTTAGGACATAGGGGGTCGCATTCCTGAATTATCTTTGATTAAATGTTGAATATTTTGTTCAAAACTTTGATTGCCGTTGTAAGTGGATTCCAATGAAATCATGCAACTATCTGTGAACACTTTACAAGAATTCAACATGGGAATTGACATTAGGAAAAATTGGATGTATCCAGACATTGAAATGTGTGTTCAAAACTGACTGCTGTGTAGCTGTGTAGATTGCATTGTGTAAGATGGTATAGCTGTTTTTTTTAATGCTGTACTGTTTGGAAGTTTTTTAAATGAGTGAAATGCATAAAAAAATTGTGCAGTAGGGTAATTCCAGAAATTAGGAGTCCATTTTTTTGTGCGTCCCTGTCACATCTGACATGATTTTGCATGTTCAGGGCACATTTTCTAATTTCCAAGAGTGATGCATTAATGCAAATTACCTGCCAAACAAATAGTAATAGAATGAAATCAATTCCGGCGATATTTCCATGTCAAATAACAAAAGTCAGATGTAACAGAGACACAAAAATGTCACACACTTTTGGAACCCTAATTTCTGGGATTACCCTGTGAACAACACCACAATATTCTAAGCAGAGTGTTGAAATGTAGGTATTTTTTCTTTTATAGTAAAGGCACAACTTTTGGTGAAGTTGGGCTCTTGGTATTTTGACAACACATCACACATGTAGTTGTGTTGAAAATGTGTTGCATAAACACGTCTTGTTTCTATGCTGCAGTGGTTTGGGTGGTTGTGACCATTATGTTCAGTTAATAAGTTGTGATTGGACTTGTGAGGAATTTTAGAAATGAATGAAAATGACTCCAAATATTTTGAGAATTCACCATAAAGGCTAGCTTTAGGAAAAACAGGATGCATTTGTTTAAATCTCGAAAAACGTGTTTAAATATTGGTTGCTGTGTGAATTTAATGACAACTGCTTCAAGGTCGAGAGGACCACTTGACCCAAAAAAATAAATAAATAAATAAAAAGAGCCACCGAGATTGGCTGAAAGTTATTCTGTCTTATGAAATTCTTTTGAATGTTAGACTGCATTTAGTGCAATGTGCTTATCCTTTTGAAGTAAAGTTAAAACATGACAGAGTAACTTGTGAACTAATTACATCACCCAGAAATACTTTTTAAGTTTTAAGTTTTGTTTTCAAGAAATCTGCATTCATAAATTCAAACTTCATGTGGGCAAAAGATCTGTTGAAGCCCACAGATTCCGATCAAACAAGGTATATGTATATGAGTTTCTATTGAAATGAATATGAAAAAAAGAACCAAGGCAACATCACACTGAATCAATGGAAGGCTTGTATTGACTAAAACCAAGGAATTTACTAAACACATACCTTTGTTACAGTTCGCCGAATGCCAATAAAGTACATGTACTGGTTGATAAGAAGTGCTCAACTATTTGCCAAGAGTATCATTTCAGGCAGATGTTTACAAATCCGCAGGAAAGAACTGGTTCTTCAAGGATTCAATTAAAAAAAAAAAACAGACAAGACAAACAACCCCCCAAAAAAGAATACACCCCAAACCAAACTCCAGCTTGTGACCAATGAAATGTGGCAATATTGTACATGCTCCTCCTTCAAATGTTTCCCTGAAAGAAAATCTACAAAATGGCTGGGACAGATAATTTCTGTACAGTTCACTGGCATTTCATCTTGACATGTTTATGCTAATGAGAGTGACCTGTACTGGTTGTTGTGACATGCTATTAGAAGAGGAAAGAGACAACGCGCAGTGACATCCATGTTATGTGCAGTTGGTCACAAAAGCTTGGCCTCTGTCATCACAGCAAACTTGATCCTTTATCGGCACACACTCTCTACCTTTATTTATTACAACATTTTAAATCCCAGTTCTTTCACAGAATTCCACGCAACATCTCAGACGGCCCTTTTTCATCAAGGTCCCAGAAACAGGAAAGTAAATTGACAATGAAAAACTGTAAATCAGCATGTCCGCCACATGCAAACGATATCATCGGCTTGGACTTGCACTGTAGCTGAGAGGGAACCAGCCACACCAAGGGCACCAGTTTTCCTGTTTTCTCCAGCATTGCAGTTTTTACCCTCATTTCTGTTCAAATAAATCTGCAAACAGTTCATCCAACCAATCACTCCCCTTGCAAATGGCAAATGCTAAAAATGCAATATTCCAACAGCATCAGTCCAAAATGAAGCAAGTCTGAGGTCTTTTGGGAACAGCAAAACGCGTATGCAAGGTTTGCCCAGCAGCGCCGCTTTACACCAAATCATAAGCGTGCATTGTTCTCGAACGACCTGTTCCAAATTTGACACTCTCTCAATGGTACGGTTAAAGGAAGGCGTGACTTACCTCCTTCTTCTCCCCGGCGAGGTTGACCAGTTGACCTGAGATGTAGCGGAACACCTGCAGCTGTACGGCCTGCTGGCCCAGCCTGCGCACCCCGGCCATGTCCCCCTCGGGCCAGAGGGTGCAGTGGAGGGCCAGCCAGGCCAGGAAGACTGGGCCGTGGGACGGCTGGGTGCCGAGATTCTGGAAGATGGAGGTCAGCTCCTGCAAAAAGTTGACAAGAGATATACTACTTTAAGACTGGATTAGTCAACGAACAGCACAATTGTGTTGAATGATGCCATAAAGTTCCAAACTGGGTCCACACAACATGTTTTACACAGTGGTTGTTCGAGATTGTGAGTTTTGGTCGGTGTTATTCTCAGCCCTAGCCGGTTTAAACGCGTGGCAGCTTTACCTCCAGAACTATTTTGTCAACTTCCAATACCTCAGGAAGCTAAAATTGGCTATCCATCCACAAACCAAGTTCTATCAAGTACAGCTGATACACGTATTTCAGTCAATTTGAAACCGAAAATAAATTACATTGGACCGCACCCCTACAAGCACACCCATGGATACAATTCAATAGGCATCACTGTATATATTGTGAGGTTTAGGCAGTGTGGTAGCTTATTCCTTTAGTTTGATTTTTCCGATATGCAACTCTGGGAAACTCTTCAAAATGTTTGTTTGCTCTCAGCTCTCATTTTGGTGAAAATTCAAATTTTCTTTGGCTCACAATTACAAAATGTGTTGCCCACAAAGTTGGGCTTGGGGTACCTTAAAGGCCATTCACAATCATCAGTTCTTTAATAAGTTTAGGAATTTTGGGGGGGTTGATGTGAATCAAGCAAGAAAACAGAAATCCCCGTAAAACATTTGTATTTGGATTGTATCTGCCTTGACCGGGAGCACGCACCCCCCGTCCATCAGCTAGAAAGAGCCATGTTGGTGGGGAGTGTTCATTTTTGTTGGTAGCGATGTGACCGAAATGCTTGCATTTCATATTCATTCACGAACCAGCAGTGCGCAGTTACAGCCAAGGGAGCCTCCATCGCCAGGAATATCGCACCCTCACTTGGTCAGCTCGGGGCCCATTGAAAAGCAAGAAAATTTGTTAAGACTTAAAATGGAGGCAGATGAGTCCACACAGTTAAAAAAACTAATATTTAAAAAATGCTGAGATTCTTGACTGACCACCAATCTAAATTTACTCATTGTCATTTGCACATCATGCTTTGGTACTGACCAGCAGTCTCATTTCACAATCATCATTACTGATTTCAGCGTAAGTAAAGTTTACTTACCCCAGCTAGCTTTTGGTCTGACACAAGACGGTGACTGGGTGGTCTAGGAAAGAAAGCAAACACCCAGCCCATCATTTCATCTGTATCTTATCTAAACACCAAACTTGTGAATGTACGAACAAAAAGCTGACTTCAAGATGCTCTACAGAAAATGACAGCAGCAAGTTCCCACCAGGTAATTGTGTCTGACTTCAGTCACAGCACAGAGTGAAGTTGGATTGGAAAGGTTGCAGTGAGTGTAAAATAGGCCACGTTTTTCAGGGGAGTTATGTCGGCATAATTGACTCTTTGCTGATATTGTTGCAGTGGTAATCGGCCATGCGCAGAAGCACCCCCTCATTGGTTGAAAAGAGCCAAGTTGGTTGTTTTGGGGGAGTGTCCATTTTGTTGGTAGCGATGCTACTGCAGCGCTTGTGTTTCATAGTCATTCGTGAACCAGTGGTGCGCAGTTACCACCCAAGGAGCTTCCGTTGCTAGGAAAATTGCACCCTCTCTTGGTCCAGCTCGGGGCCCATAGGGATTAACATCAAACACAAATTGAAGCTTGAATCATTCCAACAGGTGGATGAACTACATTTTGTCATGCCCATAACCATGGCAAGAAATACCGTTTGAAGTCAATGTGCTTTGTGCACTACGGTATACAACAAAAGTATGAAACCTCTGGTAGAATGCTTGATTCCAAGCATGCTGGTTTTACCCAAATCCTCACAGAACCTTCTAAAATACACCAGAATGTTTTGGAGGATTCTGTAGGATTTAGGATAGTAGAGTCCAGTTTCTTTTAATTCATATGAGGCATGATGCGCCTCAAAAATGGAAGTACAAAGAATGTGCAGTAAAGTTCTGGAATAGTGAATTAGGGTACACCTTGGTACCAGTCCAGCTCTTGCAGAGGTCCAAAAATGTGGCAAGTTGGCAAGGGAGGTTGTTACTTACTTGTCCGAATCTGGTAGGCCAATCAGTGCATCCAGGTTCATGGACTCAACTAGTAGCATACCACACAGAAAGCTACGGCAAAAATGACAAGCAAAAACGAGAATGAAACATGTAGGCAAATGATTTGGAAATACTTTGCTTAAAGGTACGGTCCATCATCTGTCATTTGTGCATTACGTTTCTTTGAGGCAACAAAATTACTGAAATTTAAAGGAGGGAGCGTCAGAACAAACCTGATGAAGTTTCGGTTCAATGCATACTGAATATTCTGAGAAAAACAGTCTTGTCGGATTTTGATTTCAGTTGAGAAGTTGACGAGTCATGTTGTGAAACACGCCTGGATTCAGCATGTGGGACACATTTTCACGTTCACTCATATGAAGATATGCAACGTCATGCACTGAAGTAATGAATTACAGTAACCATTCATGCGTGTGTTGCGTCAATGCTTGCTAATGCTTCTAGTGGTAACTTTCCTCAAATGCGTCTTTGGACACATCATTGGAAATGACCTTTCATTGTTTTCTTCAAAATGACAGCTTGCCGGAAGAAAAATTTCACAGGTAGTTATGTCCTATGGCCATCTTCGAACCAAGTATGCTTTTCAGCAATCATTTCATCAGTTACTTTTTGATAACTACAAATGATGGGCTGTAACCTTTAAGAGAGGGAAGAGCATGTTTTTGATTTGGCCCTTTTGTACACAAAATCATATTCTAGTTTAGGCTGTGAAACACGCCTGGAGTGAGCAACGTTATGTTGCTACCCTCAACACGGCTTTTATTTCACGCTGCAAGGTCCAATCAGAGAAAACAGCAAGGGACCATGTGCCCATACGATTTTCCAGAGATCAGTGACCATTCCCGTGGGCAACAGTTTGACAGCCGTACCTTGTGAAGAAACTTGACTGTGAGGCTCATTGTTTAGATAAACTGAATTCTTGACTGCATGATATAATGGTCACTTCTTGTGCCATGTGCGGGTTGTCATCATAGCTCCGATCGAGCACCGAGTGCTGGCTCCGTTTTTCTCAAAGCTTTTGCCATTCATAAGCTTAGAAGGCTTGCTTACCACCTAATACTGAATGCAGTGCTGCTGCCTTCGCCTAAGACAAGCCGAGGTATCTCAGGTCACGAGTCAGTGACCCTATTAACCCTAAGGGGGAGTGGACCAGAATTTAACCCCCCCAACAGTTTTTCTGATATTGAAGCAGTGCATTTTTTTCAAAAGCTGAGTCTTTAGGAATTTTTCCCATAACTTTTTGTGGCCATTTTGACAACACTTTTGTGAAAATTGAACATACTGTTCTCAAAAAGTACCCTTTTTTTCTGAGACAGGTCAGCAAAAAGGTATACTTTTTCCACCATAGTGCTCAATACACATGGGCTGGCAAGCGCGTAGCCTTAAACAAATGACGGAAACAACAAAACCACATGTCAGATTAAGCTGAAACTTCACAGTTATTCAAAAAGGACCGTCTCCAAATGCATGCGAAGATTTTAAAAATCCGGGTATGGGCCGGCTGATTTATTACGGGAGGGAGGGGGAGAATTTTCCACCCCCAGTTGTAAGATGGTCCACAATAACTCAGCTCTTTGAGGATTAACGCAGTGAGCAGCAGCTTCAAGCAGCCAGACTCTGGTCACATCCCATCGGATGCTGACAGCGCACTTACCTGATGCGTGCTGTCAACCGGTGGGCCAGCTCCTCCGCATCCAGCAGGTATCTGTAAGGCTGACGTGTCCCAAAAGCTTGTTTCTGAAAAAAAAATTTCAAAATCGTTGAGGAAAAACTCCAGCACTGAACAGCTGGCTGAATTTGAGACTGTAAGAAGTTGAAGCTTTCTACTTGGAAACACTGGACACCTCAATCATTGTGCTGTCATCCATCGGCAGAAAAAAAACACACCCCCAAAACAAGCCTGAGTGATCTCTGAGGGTGATCTACGGGAATTCTTGGGATTATTATGAACCCCCCAAAACCTGGTGGACACTATGCCATACACCATCGACCTCCATTTGGCTCTCTGAGCAGGAAAGGAGCACCATTCTCCTTCACTGACTGGCAAGTATCTCTCCACACTGACAGTCATGGTGATAGGTTCCTAAGATGTACAAAAGATATTTCGAAAAACTGCCAAGGGGGGACAGGGGCACAGGAAAGTACAATACCAACAATAAACACTGTTATGGGCAGACCTGCCAACCAATAATCAAGTGAGAAAACCATTTTACAGCCAGAACCATCGTACAAAGCAGATTACCTGACGAAGCATTGAAATTCAGTTGGCAGGTCTGCACACGGTGCTGAAATATAGAGAAAACATTCTGAAAAACCACCAAAGACAAGCGAACAGGAAAGTACAACCAAAAGATATCGCTGCTCACAAAAAAGAATAACCCTCCTGATGGTTTGTCAATATCACAGGATCTACTTAAAACATTGACAAATTCCAACAATGATGTGCGGTACGCCTGCCAACCGAGTGCTCAGCATGAGTTGGGATAGGCAATGTTTTGGATACAGTGGAACATTTAAAGGACCACGGGACATTTGTCAGTGGAGTCTGTAAAGACACCAGATTAAAATGTTGAGCCCTCCAACTACTGTTCGATTCAAGTATCTTTAATAGTGCAAACATTTGACTTTGAGCTGAAACCCTTCTTAACCACTTGCTGCCGGGGGCTCCAGTAGCGGAGCCATAGGCCCTATATTCATGGCCGGGGTCTCTGAACTCAGACAAAGGGAACAGGGCCCTGTAATAAAAGACCGTACTCCGAACAAAAGACCAGGCTGCTGGGCATTACCAACATTTTTCACTCTCAAAAGTGGAGATAATGTAGCCTTGTTTTGAAACAGTATACCAAGGTTTGGGGTGTTGAGAGCGAGCGGATTACCATCGGGGACAAAAGCACTCCACCATCGCAGCGCTGAGCCACACAGTACAGCTGCACGCTAATCTAGCCCCTATTGAAAAGAGGTCAGCAGTGCACTGAGTCAGGTTCATGAACAAAAGAAAGTTATATAACATTGCACAATCTGGGCTCTGTTTACAAGGCTGTGGGCCTGGCTGAAACACTCGGGCCTCAATGAAGGTCACCTGTCAAACTAAAGTAGTGCCTAAAGTTTACTTCATGTGGGTATAAACGGCCGTTAAATGAAATGATGAATTTTTGAAGAATTTTGAAGAGAGAAAACATGATAATTATCCCAGCCCAGCATCATCAACATTGATAACTAATCCCGGCGCGAAGTGGTTAATGGTGAAAATCTCAGTGAGTTGTTGATATCACTCTAAGAACAATTTTCTGTTCCCAGATACTGATTTTTAACTCTATCTCCTGGTGTTCAACAATTGAAACTGCTTTCCACGTTTGAAATCAAAGTAATACAGACAGTATTTCTTCATGCATATTGGATTTGACTTGAATCTGACCGGGGTGAGACTGAATATAAACTTTCCACGAAATAATCACCAAAGATTTTGAGGGCCCACGGCAACGTAGGGTCTAAGGCATACATTTGTGCTTACCTAAAGGTTCCCCAAATATCCATTTCTTGTGGTCTTTATCAACTTTTATACATAAAAAGCCTTACTGATAAACAAAGGATTTTCCAGAGTTTAAAAGAAGTTATTTGAAAAATCCTGAAATTAGGAGGAACCCTGAGAAATCTCAGCCCTGTCGACATTCCGTTACTTATGGAGTTGTCAAGATCTTGGAAAGATGTCAGTAAAGATCTCAAGTACAACATGGCAAGGGGCTTCCTGAGAGTAAGTTATCTTCAACTGAGATTGGTCTCTTATATTTCAACAAAACACCGATACCTGGAAAAGCTGTGCCAAATTAAGAAGATATCCTGATGGATCGTCCTGGTCTCGGACGTACAACAGAATTATCTCCAGTAGCTCACACTGTGTTGGAAAACAAACGGCACGTCAGTGAGTCTTGGCAAAAGGATACAAACTTTCTGGGTATTATTTTACGGATTTCTTTTTGTAATTCATGAGTGAACCAAAAATTTGACAAGATTAGGACTTAAACCAGCTCTATAAATCTCTAAACGAATGTACCCTTTTTCTATAAACTCAGCTGCAAAGTTTTATACTTGTGCTTGCTTCCTGCAATTGATAGATTTTCTGATACATATGACATTCAAATATTCAGACAAATGTTTTTCGTGTAGCCATACTAATCCCACTGGAATGGATGGTCAGCTTAGCAAACTCTGTCAATTTTTCAATATTGGCCTGTGGAAGGCAAATCCAGTCTCTCCGCCCAGCTGAGCAAGCTATTCCTCATGGCCTTGTGAAATCACGGTCAGCTGTCTTTCTTGCCTTAATATGCCTTTTAAATCACTTGAATGTTTGCCTTTGGACATCTTAGGTTTATTGTAGGGTTGAGTAATCAAACCAGCCTAATCATTATCTCAGTCCATTTGGATTCTTTGCTGGTGACGTGATGAAGGCCATGTGGAGGGCGTAAGCAAATCCGACTGACAAAAAGTTGCACTCAAAGGGCTGAAATTTTCTTAAGTGAAAAAACTGTGACAATAGATACAAAAACAACCCCATTACTTCACTGACCTGTTCTGTAAGACCCTGGAGACACCATCGGATGCTGTGCCTCTCACTCTGTACACATATGGACCAATAGGGAAGCAGAATGTATAAAGTCAACCAATGACAATAAAGCTATCATGCAAAGAACATCAGAATGAACCAGTAGGAAAGCAGGTTTTATATCAGGTTCAATCAACCACAGTGTGCAGGCATGTGACTGCCTTGTACTACACAATGACCAAAACCACAACCAGCGCATGTATTTCATCTTTTACGAAAGAACAAATCCGCTCTGTGAGCAAACAAGAGATGGCATGCTTTTATACAGCAACGATGGTCATTTGGTGGAAACTCATCGTGTGCGAACATGCATATCTGTTTTATGTACAAAGTGTGGACATTCCTTTGTTCTTCAGTGGTTAAGGAAACTTGAGGAAAATGCTCCTTTTTCTCCCACTAGGATAACTCCTTCGAGCTGGATTTTGATGATGATGATTTCCTGGACTGTTCCTTGTTCATTTTGCCACCAATAACCTTGACCCCAAAATGCCTCTGAAACTGTTTTTCAGAGAGGGGGAAACATTGTGTGGACGTGTGCGAGTCCACACGATGCCATCATACCCTACATTATGTGGACTTCTTTAGTGCAGATGTCCACACTATGTATGTCACGCCAGCACCTGTGTTTATAGCGTGCTTGGTGCGGGCAAGGCAGGGAACGCACAACCAATTCCTGTTAAAGTCTACGGTCTGTGTGCACGTGCCATGCACAAGCATGATTTCCTTTGATAAACTTGGAATGTATTCATGATCTTTAGTAAAAACATGTTTGTGGATATGTTTTAGTGGAGTTCAGTGCTATAAACAATAGCCGGCTCTATGCATGTATTTGCCAAGCAAAATTCCCGGCTAAATTGGATCCAGGTCAAAGGTCACTGGGCTTCAACTTGTTACAAACCATTAGGGGTCCCCTCTTGTGCCTGCTGGGCGCCGGTGAGTTGAAGCTGGTCTCATACTGCTGCAGTAACATATCACACACCTTTCCCTTTTGCAGCTTTAAAACGCACTCCAAATACTGTTCCTGCAATTAACAAAGAGAAAGAAAAATATTACATTATCTGCAGACCGATCCCTGAAGACGCCATTACTAGGGGGTGCCTTGTAAAACTTCACACTGTTTTGGTTGAGGAGCCATATAATGCGCAGTCCACACACATGGTGCCACCACAGTAATGCCGTCTAATGCTGGTCACCAAAGTAGGCCGGACTCCATGTTTTGATATGAGTTTAACACTAAAGTTGCCAGACACGACATTTAACAAGTGGGGTTTTATTGAATTGGGCCGTCAAAGCAACAGTATACAAATATTGACTGCATTGAGTGATATAGTAAAACTAACCTCCCAAGGTGATCCATGGAGTATTCCATTTCCCCGAGGCAAAGCCGGGGGAAAATAGAATGCTCCATGGATCACCAAGGGAGGACAGTTTTACTGTACCGCGAGATAAAGCAGTCAGTATTTGTTTTATAACACCTCCCAACAGATTCTGCAAAATTTAAGCTAAAAATCACTACTGAAACACCAAATTGGAATTTACATTCATCATCTTTTAATTCAAGAATTCCAAGCAGAACAGTAACGTTTGAATACATTCATTATCCAATGTTGTCCGCTATGAACCAAAATACACGCCTATGCTTTCGTTGCTATGGATATAGTTCTTTGGTTGCTACGGGTATAGTTCTTTGGTTGCTACGGGTACAGTTCTTTTTCAGAAAGACACGGCATGGTATAGTCTTTTTGAAGCGGTGGTATAAAAATAGTAAAACTAGCAGGTGTCAAATTACACACTTTCGGCCCATCAAGATACTATCCTTATTCTAGGACAATGTGAGCTTGTTTCATAGTACATTTGTTGTTGGATCCTGTGGTGGCTGGCAGGCTTGGGACCCTAAGGGACAGCTGACCAGTCGGATCCTGTTACACTAATGGCTAGCTCTAAACTGTGGCAAAAGTCAATGCCATGATGTTTGGGAGGGCCTCTGGCCAAACTACCCGGAGGGTTAGGTTAATTAAAATGGAAAAGATCATTTGAAATGCCAAAATATCTACTACCTGTTTCATCAACTGTCAATTTTGATCATGGCTTGGTACCCTCTGAATACCCATACTGAAAGGCGTAGAAGTTCTGTCTAAATGTCATGGTTACCTGGAATGGATGTTCTGTGTCTCTGTGGAAGCTGAGTAGATGTTTGAGGCAATGAAGGAGCATCATGCGTTCTGTGTGGTAATACTCCCATACCTATCAAATCGATTGATAATCAATCAATCAATTAGGAAACAGCGATCAATCACTAATCATCACAAACCAATACCCTATGATAAATCACCCAATGATCAATGATCGTCCATTTATTATTAATTTAAATCTCTGAAAGAGCGATCAATAATCAACTACCCCTGACAAATCATTGAAAAATCAACAATTGATAAAATTTAAATTATTTATCATTCATTGATAACCAAAAACCAAAGTCGGACATTGTCTGAGCAATTTTCTCAAGAATGAAAAGAATCTCAATTACTGATTAATTAATAACTCAATTAAAAGTTCCTGAAACAATCATAAAAAATTGTAAAATTTTGGACACATAAAACCAACCAAAAGTTTTTAATAGCAATGGCTGGCACATACTACACATTTCTGGCCCAAAAGGTTGTTACAATTACAATCTATTGATAAGTTCACCACTCACTTTGCATGTTGTAATACATTTCTAAATTACTGGAAATTTCACTCACAGACTCTTGCCAACATGAATATGTCCACATAAAGAGTTGATTTCTGTCATTACCTTCTGAAGTAAAGCCTGAACACTTCGTTCGTCCTTCAATATCGACTACAAGAAATGAAGAAACAATAAAAACTGTGACAAAGTTGTAATCGTCCTGTCAAAAGTTCACAACTGCTGTCACTGATAATCGCTTCCGCTCCCCTCAAGTCAATAGACTCATCCTGTGATTCTGCATAAATTGCACTGTTAAAAATACTGTATCCTGTTACAAGATTTGCTCAGTAATTTGCACAGGTTCCTTGCAGCCATGGGTTCCCAATGGGCCCCTTGCTGGGCTGTACTTGATCTTCACAAGTAAGCGTTAAACAGCGCCCTCTACATTTCTGACACAGAGCCAATGGCCATGGCTGCCAGCTGTGTGGCTCACCTGCAGCTGCGTTCCCGTCCCCCTGAAGGCATTCAGGATGTAGGCCTCAAAGAGTTCCTTGCTCTGCACTGCATCCAGATCCTGCAGGTGGAACAACAGTGTTGCGTATTTTACCATGGGGTACTCTTACCCACTTGGTACACGTAAGTGTGAAATCAATTCGGTCCTCGTCGGCAGAAAAGGGCAAGTGCACGGCAAAGCATCATTATCAGAACTGCCACAAATGAAATTACTTAGGAACATTTAACGAGCAATATATTACCCCCCTTAAATGTATGAATAAGAACTGACCCCCCCCTTTCTGGTTATACTCATTGGAAATCATTTCGACTAGAACCCAAATTTTCTCAATATGATAACATTTTTTATCGAACAAAGAAAACTGACTAAATGCTTACATGTTCATTTTATGAACAAACCCCCCCCCCAAAATAACTGACTGCACCCAAAAAATTGACTAAAATGGTTTTTGAACCTGCGACCTCTGGAGCACTGTATTGGCACTCTACCCAACCCTGTGTTGACGGTTCTTTGCATCTATCAATATCTTTGTTCAGTGGGTGCTGGTTAGGAGCCATACTATTTTCATCTCTTTGTTATGAATCTTTATGATAAAAGCTTCAAGACAAAGCATGTTCATTTGCCTGCTCTTATGGACGGAAAACAATGACTCTCAATGTGTTTTTGCATCAACAGGTGGCCAGTGAGATATCTACAGCATCTGCATGCACAGTGGATAGCGATGTCGACTTGAAATCAAGTCATTGGTCGGTCGTGTTTGTCGTCCGTACGCTGTGTCCTTTTACAATTAGTGTGGAGTCCGTTCACTGTTGCCCGCAATCCATCCAGCATGCCACACAGATTCTGCCCTTGCTCGTGGGCTGTTCTGTACTGGGTTTCGGCACACATCGGCCCACAATCCCTGTGCCTGCCTAACAACTTGATCAACCTGATTCTGGATAGATATTCATGTTTGCAACAACTGAACTGCATGATTCATATATTTCCATGTAGAGCGCCAATAGTAGCTCACGCTAGGGAACAGACTTATCCATTTATTTATAGGGATGTTTACAATTGATTAGTGCCACTTTCTTTCATATCTTGCATTAATATCCCTTTTAATACGATGCTTAGAGACAAAGTATACATAACTATTCAAGAACAAATCTATTAACTATCTTTTTCTGGTGAGAGAATTAATGCTTTTATGGCAAATCATCTTTTTAGGATAATATAAACACCTTCTTCAATGAACGAGACTGTGGTTGTTGTTAATAAGCGTTCAACTGACCAATTAAACTGACCCTGAAATACATATTCATATTATCGGGATTCTTAGCCAATCAGAGTGCTCCGTCCAATTTTGGTAGCAAGCCCCATATGTTGTGCACAAAAGGGCTTGTCGGTAATTGGGCACTGTCAGACACGCGTATTGGGGAGCGAGGTTACACTAACTGTTCCCGCGTCTTATTAAATTGCTCGCCAAACTGCACCGCGAGGAAGGTGGACTACACCTAGCCAATTAAAGATTTGATTTCAAATCTAATAGCGATGACATTACAAAACCACACAAATCGATGTGCTTGGCCAACAAAGTCCTGTAGAGCACGTATTGTAGGACCGAAATAATTAAGAATAGTTTTCTTCACATTTCAGTCAGATTTCTACAGAAGGCCGCAATTGATCATTGTTGCTTACCAGGAACTGGCTGAGCTGTAGAAGGAATTGCAGCTCAAGGCGGCTGACGTTCTTGTCATTCTTCAACTTGGTCTCTGACTCCTTACTGCAATGAGAAAAAGCAACAGGATCTTCATTCCAAGATCACAAAAAAGCAAATTTGTTCATTTCTCAATTGTTTTTAACCACAAACCCTCCTGGGATGGCCCTTAACTCTCTATCATTACGGGTCGTTGACTTATTCCACCGTAAGTTGAAGTGCGCCCTCATGGCTGAAGAAGACACAGGCTAGTGCAGTGTTTTTCGACCAGGCTCATAAAGACCATGCGTTCAAACAGGAATTGGTCACACGTCCTTGGCATCCCAAGTCACATGCACACAAACCTGCACTCACTCAACTAGTTCCCACTAAAAGACTGTCATTGCTGTGTGTAAAACATGCTCTCTCATTCCTGCTTGGAGCAGATAATGAATTCCAAATAAATGAATAAGGACAGACATTGTACAAATCTGGCGAGAGCACTGATTGCTTCCATGACTTGGTGATTCCAAGTGAACAAAGATTTAATGCAGTATCAAAGAGTTTTGTGATGAAATAAACATTACTGTGTGAGTTCAAGTGTGGTTCTGTCATATCCAAACTACTCCAAGATAACCCAAACAATTTGTTTTGATTTAGAAAAAAAAACCCAAGATATTTGAGTACAAGTTCACCACTGCCTTACCTATGCTGCTTGTAGTGCTGTAGACCATGCAGCAATAAAGCTTCATGGACGGAGAGCTCCTCTGCTATAAGATTCTATGCAGTCACACGGGCAAATCAAACGGTGAAAGAAACGAGTGAACACGGTAAAGACTATGAAGGGTATAGTACTTAATACTAATTACTTGTAATACTTATTTTGGAATTATTGACTGCTCTGGTGTGGGATATTTTAATACCCTTGGGACTCATAGCACCTGAGACGAAGCCAAGGGTGCTATACTGTACGTGCCCAAGGGTGTTAAAACGTCATGTTCCACATCTCAGCAGTCAACAATTGTTTTGTTATAGCTCTGTCTCAAATTCTTTGCAATGTTTTTCCCACCTGAAGTATCTAGGCTTCTACTGAAAGGACACAATCTGCTGCTGTGCAGAAAGTTGTACGAGTAGAGTCCATGGACTCGGTGCATTAATTTACATGGATTTGGGACAGTCACACGTGTTTTGCTCAAAACCAATATCTTTACATCCTAAAATTATCATTTTAGGAAATGGTATGAAGAAACGAACTTCAAGTGAACGGATTTGACGTAAACTTACTCTGACAAACTCTGGCATGGATAAAAATTAAAGTGTGCCTATACAATGTACTGTACGTACCAGTTCACTGACATTCCCACTACAGTCCACTGTTATCAACTGTATGGGTAAGAGTGGCACAGGTACCACTGAATACAAGTAGTGTGGCTGGTGGTCTCTGCTTTGGGGTTTGGACTGTTGGGCGGGGACTAGTCTACGATACTGTGATATGACATGGACAAGGTGAAGGTAATATGGGGCTGGGGCAGTGGCATTCCTAGTGGGGCTGGGGGGGAGAACATTTGCTCCCCTCTCCCTTAGGAACCCTTGCATTCCTTCTTGTTTCCTTCCCTCCTCCCCCCCCTCCCCGAAGCACCTGGCTAAGTAGCAAAGGGAGACAAGGGGGTAACTGTCCCCCTCTTCCAGATGGCAACTCTTAGTTTCCCTCTTGCCCCCTTCCCCAGAGAACGCCACTGGCCTAGGGACAATAGTGGACCAAGTTGAAGGCTATATCATCCCCACCGTCACAGTTGAAACCACCCCCTCACACTTTTTATTCCCCAAGTAAAAGCCACTGGTACAGCCAGATCAGCTTTCTGGTCACAAACACTGAAGGTAATAGCCACTGAAGTAGACGAGGACAAACTATGACAAGTGACTGTCTCTGCCACAGTGTATTTGAAGAACATGTGACTCTACTAGCAGCTCATAAAGATCTTGTGGCAACTCTAGTTCCCAGACTTCACAAAGACTCAGAGTCAAGAAAATGTCACTTACTGGCGCTTTCACTGCTGACCGGCCACTGATGATTTGTAACAACTCGTGGTTGCACCTGTCCACATAAAACAAACCAGGAAAGGTGAAGTTGGTTTACTTTTGTAATTCTAAAGGCGGCCTTTGAGTTCACACAGCTGACCTAAGTCACACCGAAATATTATACATGACTTCCAAAATACAAAGAATAAAGCTGAAATTGGCAAAGTCTGTGTTGATATTCACTTTTATTAGATGTTTCTCCCACCTGTTACTGTTAGCCTGGACATGTAAACATGAAATGCCACTAGACATTTTATTACAGGATCCATGCAATGAATTTTTCTTAGACTCATTTCTTCTGCATCTACTCATCTGTAATGTATGAGAACTATAAGAATTTTAGGTTGATGTCACTCAGACTGAAATCAAATCTTGGGGCTGCCATGGCTGCAGGAAATTATCTCATAAGTTCATGTGTGGGGCAGTGCAGACATCCGGAGTTTCAGAAAATGGCGGGTAGCAACCAAACCGAGCTGATGAAAACCTCCATTTGCACTTTTAGAAGCAAATCTTCACCTACAGACTGCATAATAATAGCTAACCTATATAGAACTACCAGGCAAAACATGATGTTTTTCTACCATCCTCACTTCTCATCCCTCGACAATCCGCACACATCTGCATTACTTTATAGTGTGGTTCCCTGACTACAGATTTCCCTGACGTCTCTATACATAATCTTAATATAAGAAGTCAAAATTATAGGAATGGGTATCCAAAGCAACATAAACGTTTGTTAAGCAAATACGCTGCACCTGATTTGTCACCTGACGTACAGCCACAAAGAATGAAGATGTGTGCAGATCGTTGAGGGAGAAGAGGCAAGGATGGTAGAAAAAACCTAATATTTTGCCAATAGAAAATGTAGGTTAAACGCTACAAAATACACTCGTGCCCGGTAGTTCCATATAGGTTAGCTATTATTATAGGGTCTTTAGGGGAAGATTTACTTCAAAAAGCACAAATGGAGGTTTTCTCTGGTACGATCACCTGACGATTGCAGGGCACTTTTCAAATGCCATAGTTTATGGAACCATCAAAAAGACGGACCCAGAAAGGCCCACGGAATAGTGGCTTACTATTCAGTAAGTAGGCCTACCTAGGTTATGTCAATGAACATAATGGATGACAGAGGGTAAAAAGTTGGGGGATTGTGAATTTGGGGACCCCAAGTTGTTCTCATTTTAATCTGTGCAAAACTGGTCATTCCCCCCCCAAAAAAAAACCCAAAGGCAACCACGGCCAACGCTGTCTGAACTACCCTGACCCTGTTTTTGGAAATTTCAAATTGTTAATTGTAAGAAAATGTGACTTTCTCACTGATAAACCAGCCATGCAAATTTGATTCCACCATCATGTGTCATGTGTTAAAACACCCACAGTTTCCCCTCATAATTTCCCTAAAACTTCAAAACCCTGCCTCTTCACATTATCAACCCCACAGTTATTGAGCATGACGTGGCATGATGTCACAGTCATCTACCGTAACCTGGAGTAGGGACAGAAATGGGATTTTTNCCTTGTAAACTGAGCCCAGATTGTGCGGTACTATACAACTGTCTTTTGTTCACGAACCTGGCTCAGTGCACTGCTGACCTCTTTTCAATAGGGGCCAGATTAGCATGCAGCGGTGCTGTATGGCTCATGGCTGCGGTGGTGGAGAGCTTTTGTCCCCGGTGATAATCCGCTTGCTCTAAATACCCCAAACCCTGGTGTAGGGTTTCAAAATAATGCTGGATTATCACCACTTTTGAGAGTGAAAAATGCCAGTCATGCCCAGCAGCCTGGTCTTTTGTTCGGAGTACGGTCTTTTGTTACAGGGTCCTGTTTCCTTTGTCCGAGTTCAGAGACCCCCGGCTGGTAGTGGTTAATGGAAATCATGGTTAAAGTTGTGCCACACTTTGTGTGTTTACAGCAGTAAACAAAATGATAAACAAATTGAGTCACAGACAACATCTCTGTTGCTCATTTATTTTCAGCTGTTCTTTTTTGAAACAACAAAATAGTATGCACAGTGGATGTTGTTCACATAAATCTATGTGTGGAATGTTGTTTACAAATAGTGTTGCCATGGAAACGCGGCTATTTACATTTTTCCTCTATTGGTTGTAATGAGCCCAAATTTTACAGTTCAAACTTCATAATATCAATGAAAAACTGATGAATCACCCTGACTTGAAATTGGAATAAAATTGGGATTACGATTAATGAGTTATTTACGACAGCATTTGTTTACTAATTTATAGTGTAGTAAACAATGTAATAAACAAATTGAAGCTTCCATGTCTTCAGATATGAAAATGCTAAACGCATCCTGTTTTCACTATATTCCAATACATTAACATCTCTTTCCAATTTTAAGGATTCATAACAATTCAAAAGGTAGATTATTGGAAAAGGTTGCCAT